TAGTGACATGGAGGTGGGATTTGAGTCCCAATGTAATTAGCTCTAACGTTTCTACAAGAAGAAGAGACAGATTCATTTCCTTTGTTTTTGCTCTGTTTTTTTCCTCTTCCTCCATCAGAAGAAGAAAGATCAAGATGAACATTCTCTAAGTAAACTTTTTGACATGGCATTCCTCTGCTACAATGTAGCTGCACTGCGACTCTTGACGATGATGTTCCTCTTATGTTCTTGAAGTATATCTCACTCAACTTCACCTTCGACGGTACCTGCAAAAAAGGAAATGAATCAAAACATTGCTCTTAGACTCACTTTAGTGAAAACATTCAATTAAATCAAGCCGTTTTGGTTCTTATCTCTTGAAGTTATATGCCATTCACTCACATTAACAGATTTACTCTAAAGAGTACCTGAAAAATATAATCTTTATCACATATTCTAAGCTGATATGACCGGTAGTTTGACCTAAAAAAAATGCTTAAACCAATGCTAATCCCCGTGTAATCTTTTGAGTTTCTACTTTAGGTTCTTGAAGTTATGTCACTCTAGAGAGTACCTGAAAATATAATGTTTATGACAGGATCTAAGTAGCTTAAAAAGACTGATTAATTAGTGTTGATCACTACTAGCTAGTATAAACGCTAACTAGACCCGAAAACAAAGCTAAACCAGCGCGCGATAATCACCGTTAAATCTCTTAAAGCTAGAGAAGTAGATAGAGATTTGAGTGTTAAAGAAGACTCACATTTGAAGTGCAAGAAGAGAAAGGACAATAAGACTGATCAATGATGATTGGATTAGTCACATTGTTCATGATGATATTCTGAAAAGTCATGTTGGTAGCTGCACTTAGACCAGGAGAATCCGCCCAAGTTTTGATCCTTATCCCATTCGTCGTACCGCTCATCTTGCAATCCCTAACCACAAGTCCTTTCACATCTTTCTCATTTGGATATCTCCCTAAACTCCCAACGCTTTAAACGCAAAGAAAAACAAAACCGTTTAGCAAAAACATCAATTAACATAACGCGGTTTTGTTTTCGACATTACATTTCGTTTACCTGATACCATGTCCTGGTCCACATTTGATGCTTGTAATTGTAATCTGAGAATTTCCTTGTCCTATAGACACACAATCATCTCCAGTTGCGATATGCGAACGCGAAAAATAGACATTTGAGCTACGTTCGATATGGATACCATCAGTATTAGGACTATAAGAAGGCGCAGTAATGTTGAGTCTTGTCCCTTTGAAATCTCTACACTCAACTAATGCTATATGAAAAAACTTGCTATTCACTGAACTTATCCTTCTTACAACTGTTCTGTTCATTGCCACAAACTTCAAGCTCTGAAAAACCCGAACAAAAATCGATTATTTCGTTAAAAAGGAGACAACTTTAGAACCAAAATTTCAAAGTTTTTTTCTCACTGTTGGGAGGAGTTTGCAGTTAGAATCAGAAGTACAGTTATTATAAGGCCAAGCTAAGGCTCCTTGACCATCAAATGTTCCACCTCCGGTTAGAGTTAAACCGTTGATCCAACCAAACTCAAT